TCTCTCTCTCTCTCTAACGTACGGTCATGATGGCCATGTCTACAATGACAGTCATTATAGTTGCATTTTGGGCAACTGTCATTGTACACACGGCCATCATGACCGTACGTTTCGGAACTTTGATAAACCAACCGTGAGAGAGAGAGAGAGAGGGGGGGGGCTGGAACGTTGTACAGTCCACCAACCAGCCATAGGCGAGCAGCGCCATCACAACACCCCTCTCCTCCTTGATCATCTTCATCCATCGATCCTAACGTTGGGATGAGACGAGATACGGACTTGCAAGAGCCAACACCCGCCCCCTGATTTTCATCCCAGACTTCTTCTTTCCCGCCTTTGCATTCATTGAGGTCGCCGTTGCCCTTGCTGTTGACTCAGACTGTTCACCACTAACATCCTTTGGTTTGTAGGAAGAGGGAGCCGCCCCTGCATCTGGGAAAGCAGGAGAAGATGTGGCAGTTGTGGACGACTTGGCAGAAGACGCCCTCTTGGCAGCAGGTGTGGTGAGAGCAGCTGACGAGGCAGCAGATGACGACCTACCAGCAAATGGATTGGCAGCACATGATATGGCATAAGATGACGTGGCAGCAGATGACGTAGCAGCAAATGACATAGTATCAAATGGCTTGGTAGCAAATGGACTGGCAGCAGATGACGTGGCATAAGATGACGTAGCAGAAGATGACGTGGCAGCAGATGACATAGCAGCAAATGGCTTGGCAGCACATGGTACAGGTAGGGGCATCTCAAAACTTTTCCCGCTGGCTTTTAATGGCCATCCGGTAGGGGCATCCCACAAATTAGGGACCGGTACCGGTAGGGGCGTAACGAAAAGATTTGAGGCCCAAACGACACCGGGGTCTTATGGAAAATTTTAACCCTGCTCAGAGGGGCGCGACAGGGTAAATCGGCCATCGGAGGGGCGCAACGTGAAATAACGCAAATTACAGGGGCGCCAGACAAATGTTCCCTTAAATTTAAAAAAAAATAATAATAATAATAATTAAAAAAAAAAAAAAAAACAGAGAAAGAAGAACAAACAATAGGGGCATACTCTGAGTGTCATTCCCCTGCCTGTCTCAAGGCACGAAAAGCAGAGGGGGAAAAAGGAGAGAGAGAGAGAGAGAGAGAGAGAGAGAGAGAGAGAGAGAGAGAGAGAGAGAGAGAGAGAGAGAGAGAGAGCAAAACAAACGTGGCCATAGAGAGAGACGTACTGGTTCAGGTGCAAGGCCTGCACCTGGTCATCATTGTCAGGCAATTAGTTGTTTTGGTGGTTTATATTTCTGTCTTAATGATTCCGGCAGGTGCATTCACAAAACCCCAAGCAGCCAAGCAGCCAAGCAGCCATAGAGAAAGAATTTGCCCTCCAGGCAGGCAAGTAACCAGCAGGGCGTTTGTGAATGCGCTCATGAGGGCAGAAATAAGCCACTCAAAAACTACTTGCCCTACAATGATGGCCAGGTGCAGGCTTTGCACCTGGACGGCCATTGTGTCCATTTTGCACCCAGCCATGACTTTGGGCAGGTGCATTCATGACAGCCCTCCCCGTTCCTTGGCACGTGGCCGCTTTCCACGGCCCCCTACCAAACCACATTGCGAAAAGTGAGGAAGAAACAAACAGGGCCCATTAAGAAGAACAAAAAAAAAACATCGTTTTTCTTTTTGTTCCTTCCCCTTGATCGCAGCCGCACTTTCGCAGCCGGGAAATTCTCAGCATACCGTCTTCTCCCAAACACAATGCACTCTCATTTGGCTGCACCGGACCGTAAAGAAAGCCTGTATACGTTCAGAACCAGGGTGCGTTATGTTCGGGGGAGGACGGTAGACCATTGCCGGCACAGTCTATTGCTTTCTAACAGCATGACGTCTGACCATTTCTCCATTCCCTTTGCTCGCCCGACCGCACCAAACCAACGGCTGAGAAATTATGAAAAGCATGGCAACCCCAATCTTACAAACCAAAAACGTAAATACAACCCCAATCTTGCAAACCATCACACTTTCAACAGATGAGAAGCACGGGAGCTTAGGAATGTTACGTGTCGTCCAAAGGACGCTGCGTAGTGACCATTGGAGAAGAAATTTTCGAACGGAGCCGTCAATATATCATCATACATTGCACGGCAACATGATATGCCGCCTACCCTTCTTCACCCGAATGCAACGCACGGTCATTATAGCTGTATTTGGGGTATCTTTCCATCTAAATACAGCAATAATGACCGTACGTTGTATTGGGGTGAAGAAGGTAGGACCGAAATTGCTTCCTCTCGGTGTTAACCATGGCACAAACGGCCTACCCAGCTATAGAGAGTGTGGTCGATGGTGGAGGCATGCCGGAGGAAGGATTCAAGAAAGCAGAAGAGCAAAGGTAACAAACAGAGGAGAAAAGAACGGCCGGCAGGGGGGGCCTGAAAGGAAAACAAGGTTGAGGGAGAAGAAAAGGTACATTCTAAAAATGAGCTTCGGCATCAAAAAAGGAAAAGGGATGTAGATCCTTCGAGACATCCGTGAAAAATGCAACAATAGGAGAACATTGATTAGCATGGCCCCTTTGCAAGGATGACACGCATAAATCAATCAAAATTTTGAAAACAAACGAAAAGACAAGGGATGTTCTGAAGTCGGCAAACCTGCGGCCCAAAAGCCGGTTCTCCCCAGTTTCGATTATCCGTATCATCGCCACCTGCTTCTGCATTATTAAGCTGCAAAAGAGAAAAAATGTACTCTCGTCAGTTCAGCAAGCGTCAATTCATACACATTCCATCCAACTTAAAAGAACAGAGTTTTCAGAGAACAGTCCTCGAAAAGTGTGTAGAACACTCGCTCCGCAGAAAGAGACAAAATGTACTCTCATCAGTTCAGCGAGTGTGAATTCATACACATTACATCCAACTTAAAAGAACAGAGTTTTCAGAGAACACTCCCCTACACAAAAGATTACAGAGTACTATAGACATTCACTTCCCCGAATCAGAACATTCAACGAACATTCACCGAACATTCAACGAAAAAGAAGGGGATAATCCTCGAAACCTTTTTTTTTTTTTTTTTTCAAATCGAAGGGGGACAGCGTTGAGATACCATCATTGAACTGACCGGCCCCAGGTAATTCAGAATGATTTTTTTAAATCTGGTCTTCTGATTGTATCTGGATTCGAACTCGGGTCTGCATTTCAACAGTTTGTGGGTGTACTAACTGAGCTAGGCCGGTTGGTTCTGTCAAAAGTTTTCATTTGAACCACGCATGGCACACGCCAAAAACATGATTTAATTACGTTTGTCAAAAGTTTTTCCTTTTTCTTTTTTTCTTTTTTTTTTTAAGGGGGACGGCCTTGAGATACCATCATTGATGTGGATCCTGTTGCATGGCATTGGAAGGGTAATAACTTGGTGCCTATGTTTTCTGTTGGACAATCCAACAGAAGAGCTGACAGAAGAATGACATCACCCGTCTCGGTTGCGGTTGCCAGGTGGGGTGCTGTCCTTCTTGAAGACCTGCAGAGGCAAGAGGCAAACTTTAGAAAGCTGTGGAGCTTGTTGTTGGAACTCCCTAGCCCCAAACAGGCAAGTGTTTTCTGGCTTCTCTCGCTGCTAGTGAACTCTCTAGCCTCAAACAGGCAAGCGTTTTGTGGCTTCTCTTGCTGCTAGTGACTCCGTCGTCAGTCTGGCTGGTTAGCAGAGGCATGTAGGTCAGCCTGGGCTGCACTCGCTGCACCCGGCCCTTCGAATCCACCAGGCATGTCTGGTGGGACTGCCCAGCTTCAAAAAGAGAAGTGGAATGGCATCGAGTGGTGGGCCAGACACTGGAACCAGATGGGAGGGAAAGGCATCGAGTGGAACGAGAAGTGGGCGTTGCTGGGATTTGCACCAGAAGAGCGCACCCGTAAGAGAGGTTGGGCATATGTGGCGCAGGTGGCCAGAGCGGTAATCTGTTCTGCGATATGGGAAGACAGAAACCGCTCTCGTTTTGAAGGTCGTCCTTTCTCAGATGTAGAAATGAAAGCAACAACGATAAAGAAAGGTCTGAGACAGGCCATCTGGGCTGATTGGAAGCAGAGAAGGTTAAACAAGGTAGCGGTTCTCGCCAGGCAAGATGGTGGTTTCTGAAAACGTGGGCCCAGGGCAACCGGTTGGTGGGGTTCCACAGTTCAAGAGGCCTGGTTGTCTCACAGTGGCTGACGTAGTTTACTACAAATAAGTAATATAGAGGTAGGTTAGTGATTAGTCAGGGCGCCTCTCAGGTACCAGGGCACTCGGTTCTTGAGGCGTAGTAGTTACTCAGAGTGTCTCCCGTCTAACCAGGTCAATCGGTTCATAGGGCCGTGGTGGGCCAGGTAGGTCACTGACATTAGATTTTAGGACCCAGACCCACAGGGCCAGGTCCGCTGGGCCGCGGCAGTCCCAGTTGCAGTTAGGTGTAGGATAGCCTAAAAAAAAGCATAGGGTAGGCTAGTACAATCAAAAAGTTTCAGCTTATGATCCAGGGAGTTTCAGTGTGTTAACCACTTCAGGAATTGAGCACCCAGTTGAGGAAGATCAAAGGTAATGAATGGGTTGAATTCTACTTTCGAATGCAGATTAGACAGGGTGACAACTGCCAGGCAAAGTGTCTGTACGCTAAGCTGGCTGATGATGTCAGATAACCCCCGGTTGAGTTGTGAGGTCCCCGGCCTAGTCTCAATTAAGTAATGAATTTGGTTTTAAAGGGGGGGGGGGGGCACAGAACAAACGATTAGTTGACATCTCTCAAGATAATAAACTGGTTTGGGGTCAATGGTTAACAGAGTACGATGGGATGCGCAGAAGATATGTAGTTTTAGATTGAGGAGATCAGGGATAGGAATAGTAGTTAGTTGTAGAGGTACCAACCAGGTCCACTCGGTTGGAAATAAGTAAGTAGAGCCGCAGTAGGCACAATAGGGGAGGAGGGTGGCAGAGTGGCATGTTAACTGGGGATCAGAAACTGTTCCAACCGACTGTAAAGTCGATACCTGGCTGTTTTAGGCCTGTGGGGAGACTAGATAAGTTTAGGATTAGGGAACGTAGTATAAAATGGGAGTCGAGTAGTGCCGGAGCACTGGTTGAAAAAGGATTGATTACTGGATGAACTCATAAGCGAAACTGGCTAATGCTGCCAGAGTGACACCGGGTAGAATTGTGGGTCCCCGGCCCGACATAAGAATTTTTTTCCCAATGAATTGTTGGACTTTTCAAAAAAAAAAAAAAAAAAAAAAAARATAMCATMATTGAACTGACCGGCCCAGGTAATTCAGAATGATTTAATTCTGGTCATCTGATTGCATCTGGACAGGGTGACAACTGCCAGGAAAAGTGCCTGTAAGCTAAGCTGGCTGATGCTGTCAGATAACCCCGGGTTGAGTTGTGAGGTCCCCGGCCTCGTCTCAATTAAGGGGGGGGGGGGGAAGATACCATCATTGAACTGACCGGCCCCAGATAATTCAGAATGATTTTATTCTGATCATCTGATTGCATCTGGATTCGAACTTGGGGCCGTATTTCAACAGTTCGGGGGTGTTTCCTGAGCTAGGCAGGTCGGTTCATATCAAATTTTTCATTTGAACGATGAGATGAAAACTGCTACGGCGGAGATCCAGACTGTGCATTATTCAGGGTGTACGGCCGAGGCCATGCACTGCCAGCCATATGCTCAACGCCGCAGCTGGGTGACAAGCTCAATACCTGTTATTCTTTGCAACACGGGAAAACCATGCACAAGGAACCCATAAGGGCAGGAAATGGCAACCAGAGATGATTCTTTCGACCTGACATGCAGCCTGAGCACCCCTGCCAGCTATAGCACGGGGCAGCGTGCGTATTTATAGCAAATGGCTACTCCCTCGTCTAGTTTAAAATAGCACGCAGAGCAATCAGACCTTACCTGGTCCGGAATAGCATGTATCTATAGCATGGGCATGTGGCCGGTCCTTCAGGAAGGACAGAATAGCACAAGAATAGCACAAGAATAGCACAAGTATAGCACAAGTATAGCACAAGTACAACCAACCCGGACACCTACCACAGGATATCAGGCCATATTAAGACCACTTCATCAGCAAGAGCCGCACAAGTATAGCACAAGTACAACCAACCCCGACACCTACCACAGGATATCAGGCCATATTAAGACCACTTCATCAGCAAGAGCCGAATAGCACGCAGTCTGACCAGGCCTAGCTCGCAGGGCATAGTATGCACTTTATTGCATGAACTATCGCCAGGACTGAAACTAGGATAGAATTCTAGTAGGAATTTTTTTGATGAAGTCTTCTGAACGCACTCGTTATGGGACGCTGGGCCCGGTTCCCAGTTTGTGCCAATTTGTGAGGATATGGTTGTATCTATGGGACGCTGGACCCGGTTTCCAGCAGGTGCTGCTCCCCACCAATAGATGGAGCCTTGGATTAAAAAAAAAAAGAAAAAAAAAAAGGATAGAATATGCCACATGTAGGTCTCTTTCCACCTTCGCGCGCAACAAGGCCAAGGAGATCACTGGACGGAGTAAGGGCTCGAAACCAGAGGCGTACAGAACGAAAGCTCACAAGAGTGTTGCCGTCAATAAAAAAGAGATTCAGACATTCGTGAGCAGTCATCCTGGGCAGACTGTCGAGGTTCAACCTCTTGATGAGTCGGCGAAACGTCCGATTGGCGGAGTTGTGAATAGCGAACATGCACACACCCACACACGCACACACAGAAAAGACCAAGATTTTTTTTTTTTTTCCTGCAAAAGCAAGAGGGCAAGAGAGGTCTACAGGTCGACCCTTACGGTGACGGTGTGCCGTCCAATGTGTTCTGCGGTCTGGTTTGACCCACAGATTCATGCACCTGGGCAGCGTGTGGACCAGATTCACAACGATAAGCTGGCCGACAATTTCACAACGGGCTTATTCATGCAGTGCCATCTCTCGATTCCTGTACATGCAGCTGGTCTGGTTTCACCCCCCACAGATTCATGCACCTGGGCTAAGTTTGGACCAAATTCGCGCCTAGCTGGCAGACAATTCCGCAACGGGCCCTTGTCAGCCTTAACCCCATGAAGAAGGGCCAAAAAAAAACACGTTTGGTTCCATGACCGCAAACGCGCCCGTACGTTGTATTCGGGTGAAGAAGGTAGGCTACCGATAAGGATGCATGAGGCCGTGAGAGAACAGGACGCGACCGCAACGCATCAAAAGATAGGTGGTTGGACGGTTGGGAGGCCTGACACACCTCTCAACGGTACGCGGCCACATTCTAGTGGACAACCATCCATTATATATATATATATAGAGAGAGAGAGAGAGGTTTTATGGCTATTCGTCAGCATTCCGCTGAGAGGCAAAGATGAAGTTGGATGTGTGAGTCAGAGGAGACATTGAGCCGACTTATACTGCTGGGTTCTGGATTGAGTTTCCCCCTCCTCAACTTCTTCTCCTTCTTCTCCTTCGCCTGCTCCTCTTCCTACACTCCGTCTATGGGTAACTGGCCAGGGAGTAGTCCTACATGCACCTCTCCTCTCCTCTCCTCGCCACCTCCATCATGAGTGTGTGCCTTGCTGACTCGCTTTCCTCGCACCTCTCCGTGTGTACGATGTGCTTACGTATGTCTGCTTCGTTTTACATTGTCATTGTCTTCCGCTGTCATTTTCTTCCGTGTCATTGTCACTTTTGCTCTTACTAGATACGTTGTTCGCCCATGCATCCCCGGCTATCATCACCGGGTGATGCATCAAAGCAGACGCTAATCCTCCTCAATATCATTCATTATACACACACGTATATCCATTACATATATCGTCAATATATTGTTTTTTTCGCTTTTGCGCTCTGATATATATATGTGACGATATATTATTATAGTATTTATTTACAGTACCACTGCGCACGAGACTCGGTACGAATTCGTCGAACGGATCAAGTCCCCGTTTCGTCCAGATAAAGGCATCGCCTGGAAAATCCTTGTTTCAGTATGCCCTAATACTCTTGCCAGTAGGCCTAATACACTTCAAAGTAACATGCTAACCAATCTTTCTCAGTCGAGAGCCCTTTTTCAAGGTAACACCACTCACTTGACAGAAGCTCTTCCCGCGTAAATGCGTTTCTTGCTCAACTGTTCCTTTCTGAGTTTAAACGATATCTCGTACGAAACTGAATCAGAACGCAGGGATGAAAGAAAACCTGCAATTTATTTCTCAGATCGTGAGCCAGGCAAGCAGGGGCAAATACAGTAAAATCCGCCGCCTCTTGCCTCGGCAGCTGAGGCGAGCAGTAACTACGATACTATCTACGAGGATGGGCCTTACATGCACGTTGTGCCAGTAAGCAGTGGGTCGGTCCAGTGGTCCCTTTCAGATCCTCAGCTTCCACCTCCCCCCACGACAACGTAGAGGTTACAAAATCCGATAACCAAACAAAGCTTTTGAGTAGCTGAAGTCGACCACTTTTCTCTCTCAAGGGTGGGTATCGCTAACTCTGGGCGATGTGGTGGGTGAGTCCTTATCCATCAGTCAAATGCATCCTGGGCAGACTGTCTGTCCAGGTTCAACCGCCTGATGAGTCCGCGCAAAGTCCGACGAAACAGTCTGGCACACTCATGGCTTTTTTCAGTGTACAGCGAATATGACAACACACACACACACACACACACACACACACACACACACACACACACACACACACACACACACACATGCGCGCACGAACTTGAAGAAGAAAGAAACAAACTCACCTGGTCGCAAAGCGACCTAACTTGCTCTGCTGTCGCCGACGGTGGAGGGGAATCGAGATAATCATCGAGAGGTTCAGCGAGTGCAGCTCTTTCCTTCGCCTTCACCGCCGCCTGCTTCTCGCGAAGAAGGCCATCAAGAGAGAAAGGATCGTCGCTCGCGCTGCAGGTCCCCAACGCCATCATCCATCATTAAGCAAACGGCAACAGGAACGATAATTGTTATTGTTATCGTCACTGCCAGCAAGACAGAAACAGAAAAATAAAAAACGCCCAACCCCATAATCGCATAGACCCGTTCCCATCGCCGACCTCAGATAAGCTGAAAGCAAGCCGCGCAAAGCCAACGCACTCGTACACAGCGATACACACACACACACACACACACACACACACACACACACACACACACACACACACACACACAAAAGAAAAAGAAAAAGAAAACAGAAAGGCGCACCTGTAGTCAGAAACCAGGCGTAATGGTCCGAATCGATCGCGAGCGAGATGGATTGAAAAACACGGCTGTTTTCAAACACCTCGAAAAAGGCAACAACTCTTTTCCCAAAACACCGTTCTATTATTCTTCTGACACAACTCTTTTCCCAAAACGCTCTGAAGGAGGAATAATCTTGCACGAGATAAATTTTGCACCAGTCCATGACAGCCGTACAAATTTTTGGCTTTCCATTGGAGAAACGCAAAGGTTCCCCTAAACAGGATCCACCCCTCTCAGCTTGCTGTAAATTACTTTTTTTTTAACTGATTCCATCTGGTTTCCAACTGAGGTCTGAAGTTCAGCAGTTCATGAGTTCATCTGGATTCCAACGGAGACAGGTCAGTTGGTCAGTAGTTTAATATTGAAACTGCAAGGATATTCAAACACATGAAAAGCCATTGCAAAATTGAGATGCATCTATTATGTTAGGGTTCATGCCACTCTATAGACGGCACAACACCTTGCACAACTGGAAGTGCAGGTCCACGAACTGCACCAGTACTACCGTCTTCAGCCGAATATAAAGCCCGGTCATTATAGCCGTATGTGGGGCCATTTTCTGCCCAGATGCAGCGATAATGACCGGACGTTCATTCGGGCGAAGACGGTAGCGATACATCAACGACAACCGCCCAGCATACCATCTGGTGCCTCTGATGGATCAATCGATAAATGAATCAATAAATCGATCCATCAATTAATCGACCAGTCAATCAAAAAATCAACCACTCAATCGACCAATCAATCGATCAATCAATCAATCAATCAAACAATCAATCAGTCCATCAATAAATCAATTAAGTAGTCGATCGATCAATCCATCAATCAGTCGCTCTATCGATCAATCCACAAATGACGCGAGAGTTCGATGAGCGTCTTCGGTTTGAAATCCACCTGTGCAGAGGTCGGATTAGTACATAGCTGGCAGATGATCTATAGGATGATTGCGACGAGGATGACTATCTGTAAGCGACGACATGCATGATTAACGGGATGCATTCGACACAAAAACAAGCGCAAGCAATACAGAGGTGGAGGTGGCAGTCTAAGAGCATGCATACCGTCGGATCTTGGATCGTTTCTTGGTAGCAACGACTGGAAAGATGGGCCCCAAGTCCTCCCTGTCCTCATCTCCATCAACATCATCGTCAATGATACGCCGATGACGTTTCCTCTGGATGGGTGATTTGCGATCCGCAGATTCCGATGAACAAGGCCGCGCGCATCGCAGAAATCGTCCTTCTGCAATCCTTCCCCCCTCGCCCAACACCCCCTTCCGTCGAGCACCGTCGCGACCCCCCCCCCTTTCCGGAGTCTCCGCCCCTTCCCCGGCGACATTTTCCCCCTCGCCCCCCCCTCTAACCACCCCACCGCCGCTGCCCAACCCCGCCCCCTTTCGTCTATCACCATCACGAACACGTCTCTCTACTTTCTCCACAATTCCCCGGTCAACATTTTCCCCACCGCCGCCGCCGCCATCTTTTGACTTCGACCCCTTTTTCTTTGCAACCTCCATTTGCTTCGCCCCTGCACTATTCGTCCGGCCGTTATCACCCGAGCCAACCGAAGTAGAACGAAGGGCTTTAACCTTCACCCCCTTCCTCTTCTGCCGCTCCTCCTCCTCCACCTCCTCCTCCACCTCCGGCATAAAAAACAGGCCTTTAACCCCCCTCCTATCGTCCTCCTTCTCCTTCCCTGACGGGGACGAAAGAGTTCTTTTAACCCTCCTCCCAGACTCCTTCTGCTTCCCTGACGTAGAAGAAAGGGATTTATCAACCCTCCTCTCGTCGTCGTTCTCCCTCCCTGCTCTAGCATCACTTTTAGACCCCAGTGAACTGGAAACCGGTTTTGACTTCTTCGTCTTTCTTAGTAAAGAATTGGAAGCGATATCACCCGTACTCTGTGATGAGGAGGAGCGCATCATCATCGCGCTCCTTCGAGATGTTGATCCCGACTCCTGCTGCTCCCTATCATCACCCTTCGCATGTACCTCCCTGCTCTCTTCCTTCCTTAAGAATCCATCCCCCTGGTCGTCAATTACATTTTCCCGTGCCCCTTCCTTCTTGGCTCTCGTCGACCGAGCACCGATGTTCGTTTTGCTACCCGTTGCATTGCACACAACCGCGCCGCCTCCTTTTCCTCCTCTTCCTCCTCCTCCTCCTCCTCCTCCTTCTCCTCGTACAGCTGCGGTTGTTATCGATTCCCCTATCACTGCGGGCCTAGCTCTACGGCCTCGCTTCGACTGGGAGTCATCAAGACCATTAGGTCCGCAACATGGCAGAGCTTCATTATTCTCCTTCATTTTCGTGAATGCCGTTTTCTGCCCTCCCGCGTCGTCAAGAGCGAGCACCGCCTGCTTCTTCGCCTTCTTGCCCTCCACAGCTCTTTCTTTGTCCGCCATCTCCCCGTCGACTTCACTCTGCACTTCTTGCGATGAGACTTTCCTCTTCTTCAAGGCTGTTACGCTGCCTACAGTCGCATTCTCCACTTCGCTGTCTCTCTTGGCTTCCAAAATTTTCCGTTTGAGAAGACCGGCCTCTCTCTTGCCATTGCTTCGAAGCGCTAGCTTCTCCCCTCTCTCATTGCCATGACCTTGACCTTCCTTGTACTTGCCCTTAAAATCGCCCCAGCCACAAGACTCCTCTCCCTCACTTTCGTGGCTGTCCTTGTGCTGGCCCTCGAAATCGCCCGAGCCAGAAACCTCATTGGTCTCTTTCCCTGACATTTCACAGTCCTTCAAATCAACCCTCTTTGAAGCGGCACCGTCTCCAACCACCACAGCTCGTCTATTCGCAAGAAGCTTCTCAAGAGTTACTTCCTCGTCCTCTCCATCTTCTCCCTCATCTTCCTCTTCTTCCTCTCCTTCCTCGTCTTTATCCTGCTCGTTTCCGATCATGTAGTTCTTTGAGACACCATCGCCGCCCATTCCGATACGTCGTCGGCTCCGACGTAGATCAGGGCGCTCGTGTCCTCCTCGCTCTCCGTGCGCGCACCGACCGAATCTACATGCGCACGTGAGGCATTTATCGACACATGCGTCTCAATGCGAATTCAAATCACTGGCGGGAAAGGCGCACCGACAGGAACTTTAGGCGGGCAATTCCACGGAAGCGCGCAGGGTTCATCGAGGGCGCTTACCGCATCCTCCACTTTCCCTTCGGCATAAAGCCGTACCCAACTCGTGCACTGGCCTGCCGTTACCGCATCCGGGAGGAAAACATAACCAAATATGACGCCGGAGGCAAACTTATGTAGGTGAATGGCACATCCATAAACTGTTCAGACAGCGACGAGTGTTCGAATCTCACAGGGGCCGGTCACTTCACTTCCATCGTGATTCGCAGCCATGAAGGCTGGGTACAGCAGCGTACGGCGTTTGCACCCAAGGCTCGTCTACGTTTCTGGACGACCGGCGCTACAGTGGGGTTAGAAGCGTAGCATCCATGACTGACATACCATGAGGCCGTGGGCTGGCAGCCCATAGTGCTGGGCCTTCGTGGCGCTGGACGGCCTTCTGCGGAGACGCATGACTCGCAGTTCGCAGCCCGTCAGGGTTGCGTTTTCCCCCCCTGAGACATTTCAACTTCGATCAAATTTCAACGCCGTGGTCGTCGGGAGGGTGGGCATTTTGAGGTTTTGGGGCTTTGCAAGGGCCAGGACCGCGTACGACTAGTAGCTGCCCGTAGGAGGCCGAGGAGTGTGTGGGTGCACCTTTCTCGAATAGCAGAGTACGTCGAATAGAAATCGTACACTCTATTCGTACACGTATTCAAAAACAACGTGTACCCTTTCTATTCGGATTTCGAAAAGAAAAAACTCTCGTATTCCAATACAATTACTACTTTTTTTTTGGAGGTCAGCGCCTGCCCTTGTGCTCCCCGCAACTGCCATGCTGCATGTTGCAGGTCTCTCTCTCTCTCTCTCTCTCTCTCTCTCTCTCTCTCTCTCTCTCTCTCTCTCCCTCTCTCTCTCTCACTCACACTCCCACTCACTCCCCCACACACACACTCACACACACACACACACACACACACACACACACACACACTTACACACACCCACACACACAAACACACACATACACATACACATACACCCACACACTTACAAACACCCATACCCTTACAAGCACAGACACTGTGACACACACACACACACTCAAACTCACACTCACATACACATGCATACACATTCTCTTGTCTATTGATGGGGAGCGCCACCTGCTGGAAACTGGGTCCAGCGTCCCATGAACATCGTGAATAAAGCACCCACATCATAATAATGCAATGACTCATCTACTATTACGCATTACCAGTCAAAAAACGACAAAGCAGGGGAAGGTCCGAAGCATCCAGACAACAACTGGACAACATGTGTGCACTCTATGAGGAAGGAACGACAAAGGACTTGCCCCATTGCTCTTTTGTCCAAATGCGAGATGACTATGAAACAAAACAAAAACGCTACGAGTTTCCTTACCTGATTCACCCCTGCACAGGAACAACGTCACATGACTAACCAGACTGCAGGAACCAACATTACCAATGACTTGGCAAAGGACACTCTTCCGAAGACTTCATCCTCTCATACTCTAGGTGATATGGAAGAGAAGATGTAAAGAGACCATCGCTTCTGAGACCACTTCTATACTTTAAGCATGGGAGACTCTCCCCCCCTTCTGCAGATTGAATATTGAATTAACTGGAACAAATCAATTAAGTTCATTAAAAACAATCCTATGAACCAACTGGGAATCATTGACAAATTAAAAAAAAAAAACTCAAGGGAATGGAAAGTCATGTGACATTCAAGGTAACACACAAAGGCTTGTTTGGAGGATGACAGGGATCGCAGAAGGAGGACACCATAAGGCAACAACAGTTTCGTCGACACCTATTCGCTGAAGGAGAACACCACAAGGCAACACCAGTCCCCGCGCCGCCGAAAACCTCAGTCCCTGTGAGTTAGGGCCGGGTTGTACGGAGGGGCGGCCACGGTTCGTCACCAGCGGGCCGAATCTCGCCATTTTCAAGCGGCAACTTTGCCGTTTTTTTGTGCTCAAAGGAATTCATCAAAATGTCTGAAAATTTAAGGGTCCGTAGATGAGGTCGTGATCTTTCAAAAAAATGAGTTGCTCCTGAAAATTTAAGGGTCGGGTTGTACTAGGGCAAAGCTCCTCATATAGGAGTTGCTCCTGCTATTCCCGTAATAGGAGCTAGCCCAGTAGGTAAGATATAAGGCTCATGAGCCGCAGATGCAGACATCTAACTTGAGGTATCTCGAAACTTGGCTAGCTCCTTTTGTGAGGAGCAGCCTGGTCATGATTTCAATAGCGCGGTCCATTCCGACCACGCGATCTTCTGGATCGTGCGACCGAGATCAACCATACTCGTGGCCCCTGCGCATGGATGACACGCATTAAAAAAAAAAAAAAAGGCAGGAGGTGATTTTTTTTCTTTCAAATCTGTTAGGATTTAAACTCAGACCTGTATCTTTGAAGACGTTGTTGAAAAACCACGTGAAGTCGTTGGCCTAAGCAACGTGAAGTCGTTGGTTTTTTCGATTGACTCTCTGAGTTTTGAACTTGTGACTGCATTGGGGGTACATGTTTTGATGCACCTTCGGAATATGAGGTGCGGTCGGTGATTAGATATATGATTTAGGGAGTATGCGTTTTCCATATGGAGTGTTCGAGCTATGTCATGGAGTGGTTGGACTGTTTGGATGATTTTTTGGAAGGGTTGTCCGGGTTTTTGAACTGGTGACTGCGTTGGTATGAGACGTTTTTTTGGTGATAATCTACTAAGCATGGTTACGAGTTCGAGCTCTTTTCGATAGGGTCCGATGAGGTCTTGGCTACTACGCAGGTGATTTTTCACTATGGTTGTCAGCGGATTTGAACCTGGAACTTCGTTGGTACTATCTTGGGTCAGGTACGGTGACGGGTACGACCCCCGCGCGATTGGTTCTGATGGAGACTTGGTGACTGAGAAGTTGTTTTTTTGGGTTGGCAGGACTTGAACTTGTGACTTGGTACCAGGCAAGATGGTTGTTTTTTTTTTCTTGGTTGACAGCAGGCTTGAACCGGGGATTTTGTTGAATACGATCCTTGTGAGGTACAACCCTTTATAGTACAGTTATTCCTAGGTTTCTAGCTGTTTTTTAGCTGCTCTTTCTTGAATTTTTTGCTTTTACTAGTTTTTTAGTACGGTAGGTCGGTTTCGTGGCTTGGCTGTTTGGGCTAGTCGGAGGCGAGTTGACCTGAAGAGAGGTGTATCTAGGACCGACAACATTTGTTACTGTACCGACTTCAGACCTCTGACGATCCTGGTAGGCGGCCAGGTGAAACTAGTAGGGTCATCAAAATGTCCGTACTTCATGTATTATCTTTTTAATCAAGTCGCGTTCGGGACATACGTCGTCGTGGTTCTTCCTCCCTCTTCGTCTTTCTTTCTCTATCTTTTCTGTCTTGGTGTGATTCTGTCCCCAAGACTGGCGTCGTTCTATATTGTGATTATGCTATCATCACTATCGTATATGCCTGTGCTATACACACTTTAATACACGAAATAACCGACGTAGAAATCAGACTACGGTGGTGTGGCTTCGACAGTTCTTTCATTGTGATGACATCCAGTGACAATATTATGAATGATGCGCGGTCATGTTATAATTGCGCTCAACGGGGTCACATTTGTCAATTTTGTCCTTCACCTGATCGGCGTCTTCAACCCCAGGCTATAACGGCTTTAGCCCAAGCTCCGTTGTTGACTGTTCCCCCTCCTCCTAATTCTCACTCCAATATAGGTAGTGTTCCTCCTTCGTACAATGGTTACTCCAGTGGTGGAGGTTATCTTGGAAAAAGGGTTTTTTCCCTTGAAGATGTAGTCGGCAAAATTAAGGAGAAGCATGATGCACTTGAAGCAAAAGAAAAGGCTGCTCGTGAAGAAGAAGAACGTAAGAAACGGGAGTGTGACGAAGAAGAGACGTGTCAACGTGATAAGAAGGAACAAGAGGACTCGGAGTTTCAGGCGCAAATCAATAAGGAGTTTTCTGTTAAGCTAGATCAGGTATACGAGGCTATCAATGGGAAGAAGAGCGTGGATACTGACGAGGTGGCGATGTTGAAGGCACGAATTGAAGAGGTTCAGAAGCGACCGTGTGCTGCCATCAATTGAAGTCACGCAGCCTCCGGTCGAAGCCGATGTTGTGTCTCGTTTGCGAATGAAACAGGCAGAGTTGAAGAGGGCTACGGATCAACGTTTCGCTGCAATGGAGGAGGTAATTCATGCTTTGCAACGGCAGTGAGAGGAAGCTTAGGCCAGTGATGAGACATGGAAGGCGGAAGCGCTACGACCAGGGAATAAGAGGGGAGGCGTTGCGATTGGTGTTACTCCATCTACACAAGTCAGGGTCAGACCTAGGTTAACTCCTAGTAAGAAAAGTCAACGCTAGGAGGGAGAGCGAACAAGAGATTGAGCGGTTGAAGGAGGAGATGGCTCGTTTGGAGGTCGTGAACAGAGGGAGGGCATGCAATAATTTAAAAACCAAGTTGGATGAGGCCGCAGAGCCTTCTGCAAGGAAGGAACGAATGCGTTCAGATGTTGTCGGAGGACCATCGACCGCGAAGACAGCGCCCTCAGATGGTCGGGATAAGGGAAATATTAATAAGGATGTTTTTCTGCGTGCGGCAAGGAAGGATCTGCTTGATAAAAAGAATGACAAAGTTGTTGAAATTTGCGAGAAGGAAGGGATCGCGTATACTACTTTGGATCACATGAAGGAAGCCATTGCACAAAAGAGTCCTGCTAGGGCCTTCCGTGAAGAAGATGATGCGTTATGTGAAGGGAATAAATACTATGTTCTTCATGTCGATGACAATGGTTGCTCTGAGGATGGCGGGCGTGACGCCACTGAGTCTTAGGATCACGCCCGAACGCGGCCCTCTACTGGGAGATTGTACGTTTCCGTTATTCTC